AACGTTGGTGCAAAGAAAAATAAAATAAAATAGGGAAGGCATTGTGGCTAACCGATAAGATTCGACTGCTTTGTTTCGACCATGCTCACAATTACTGGAATTTTGTCGCTAATCTTGACGAAATCCTCGTTTAACTAAAAAAAACATTACTGCGCTTAGCCAACTTTGTTGCAGATAAATGATGCATTGCAATTCAAACCGCGTCTTCACAAAAAGTATAGAAAACTAAATATCAAAATCAAAATATGAGTTACCTTTTTGTTCACTTCGTTTTGTTCCAACAGAAGCACAACATCTGCCGATGGATGCAATATTGAGTAACCCCAAGCTGCTATTGGAGAACCACGATGAGGGGTAGCAATAAATAATATCCCTATCTAAATAAACCAGATAGTTCAACGGAACATGTTCAACACGAACTTGTTAACTGCCCACCGTTTTTTTAGCCAAATCATGCAGGTCTAGAAGCAAACGTTTCACCAACAAACCACCTAGACTGTGACATATGAATATTACAGGTCTTCTGCCAACACCTGCCGCTTCAAGCTGATGTTCGAAACGATTGGCTCTAACCTGACTCACTACATATTAGCAACTGGATACGTAGCAGAGAATGTGGAAATTTCTGGCTCATCAGTAAATTACTGATAAGAAAGGCTTCGATTGTACACTACCTGAGGACTACGCTTGATATACGTAGCAGTTTCGTTAAAGAACAACTAACCTGCAAGCTCTCCATAGTCCCTGTGAAGTGCATTAAATATGATGGATAATCTAGGCCGAGAATGCGCATCGGCTCTTCTATGTCCAGATGCAGCCAATCCTCAAATAAAGTTGTTCGATTTGTAACCATATAAGGTCAGAGTAATAGCATATCAGTTAATGACAAGCCTTTGGCCAGCAATTTGAGACAATATTACTAGAGTGGTCCTTTTGTCGCCATGTGTAAGCAACACCACCCCGCAAACCATGAATCATGACGACATCAACCTAGAGGCTTGAATAGCGTAATTTGAAGCAAAACAGCAAGCTTAATGTTGTTAAATTAGCTCACCACAGGCTCCTTCTCCGGAAGAAATAGTTCGTAGATATCAGACCTCAACTGGTAGTCAATGGCACCCAGAGAGCTCAATGCATTTTGGCAAATCTAAAACATGTATACATTGGCTCTTTTTAGGGGATTATTGAACCATCAGCAATGAAAGAGAGGGAATCATAGTATGACAAAGAACAGAACATTACTACGTATTCTCCAATTTAACTATTAACTTTAAAGGTACTATAGATCAAACAACGGGGGAAAACTAAAGCTGGTTTGATGTTATATAAAACAAGATAACCTTATGAGAAATCAATCTTTCTTGAAGTGTTTTCCCATGAACAACCATAGAGGCCAACAGAGGTAACCATTCTGGAACAAACTCTTTCATAACCTTATCTGTATGACTCATTGTCAAGAAAACCTGATGTGAATATTGAGACAGCATATGCTGAACCATTAAGAGCAACGTTTGAAAGCGTTTTCAAAGCAAGAATTGATATTTCCTTGTTGGTGTCGCGAAATCGTGTATATAATAAGTATAAAAATGGCACCACTTCAACACCAATTTCCGCTGGATCAAACGCGATCTAAACTGTATATTCAAAAGGAATAAATAAATTTCAAACAAGCTTACCTCTGTCCTAAGAAACAGGAGACGAATCAATTGCGATAGTCGGAAGATCTGGCTGGGTCGGTACATAAACCATCCTTCAGAACATGCAAGATCTTCTTCGGGGCACGCTACCCTATAAGAAACAGAGACTAACTAAATTTGTGATGGCAATGGTCTTAAAACTTACCTATTCAGCCAAGCTATGCCATTTTCCCAAGTTGCACCAAGATCAAACTTAATAAAAGTAATCAATAGGACAATTATGTTGAAGTCACTTTTGCGCAAAAGCTTTTATCACCAACTGCTCAAAGCAATGCAAGGTCAAATTCAGTAATCCCAAAGACATCAATCGGGAAAAAACGAAGGCGAAATTACTGAAGAGGGCGTAACACAAAAAGGACAAGTATCAGACAAACCTTAGCTAGAAGCGTAGGAAAAGCCACATCATCCTCATCAAAAGTGTATTTTGTAACAGGGACATGTTGACAAAGATCTGAGCCACGAAGTGCGAGAACACCAAGAGCTGTTGGGCTCAAAGAGCAAACGAAAGAATCATCTGAAAAAAACCATGTAAAAGAGAAGGAGATCTTAGAAGTCAAACAGACTTTTGTGAAAGAATATTTAGGGGAATTTTCACGCGAGATGTATAACAGGAAATGCGAGTGAAATGCCAACTGATAACCTTCTTCTCATCTTATTCTGATTTTACTGAGAAAACTGCTTGAAAGAGTCTATGAGAAGTACGGGTTCGTTTGACAATTGTTCCTGTTTTCACTAACAGTTTGGGCCCGCATATCCAGAATAACACCGAAAAGATTATGGAAGGCTTATTTTCGAAGAGTCCAAATCATTACTAATCACAGTTCCTCAATGAGTCAACGATAAATAGCGCCAAATATTTGATAACATCAGCCGCTCTTGTAAATGTACATTTCGCCATTAATTAACTCTTAGATTTAATTTATTTCTTTTGACAAAACAAACGTCAAAATCGCAAGCAATTTTTATCTGTTCATACGATGACATGTGGATTAATTTACTGTTGCAGGTTAAGCACAACAGTTTTATACAAAAATATGGACTTCCTGTATAGGTCTCGCTTAATAAAAGCTGTTTCTTGATACAATGCGCTGATCCCGTTAATCTTTTGAGCAAATTTATAGAAATAATGTAGTTT